ATAGAGAAGTGGAATATCTGAACATCTGTTGGACCTATTTTCTATGATTTATTGTAGTCTAATATCTGATACAAATAACCAATATATAAATGAATTGTTTATTACGAATTTTTAGTGAAATTTTATCATGTGGACTTCACACTTTCCATGCATCTGGCAACCCCTATGTTTTATTATATCTACTACTCATGGTATGTTAGCATGATCAGTAAGCTGAGTCATGGCATGTAAAAATTCCCACCACTGTAAGCACTAGCAGTGTGCAGTGTGCAAAGATCAAAAAATATGTTGGTTTTTTAATCAAGATCTCTTGTGGAACCCCCGGCAACATCTTGCAGAACCCTAGAGTTCCATGAAGTTCCTGTGATGGCAAAGGCTGCTTTAGAGCGGTATGTCTCGACCGTGGCAACTTTAAGATGGGTGGACTTCAACTCCCAGATTGAAGTCCACACATCTTAAAGTTGCTCAGGTTGAGGCACACTGCCTTAGAGTCTTTACATCCTTCTTAACTTTCTGCAGAGGAGTATTTATTTCTTGTATAAAGAGATAATTAATCATATGATGATCTCCTGAGGTATCATGACCCTTTAAGAAGGATTCAGAGAAAGTGAAGCAGATTTAAAGAAGGGCAGCTGCAGAGGATCAGAGAAATAAGACCTAAGATGGAAGGAAATAAGAATGTTTTCCCTTGAGAAGAGAAGACTGGGGGATCAGATAGGGGCAACAGGGGTAATTGTATCTGAAGGGATGCCCTATGGACAAAGGCCAAAAATGATCTCCGTTAACCTGGGCGGGGGGAAGAATAATGGAACAAAATGTCACAACAAAAGCAGATGAATATTAAGAAGAGAATAAGGACCATTAAATAGTAGCGCCAATTCCCTAGAAATAGGGTGGCCTCCCTTTCACTGGAGATGTTCAAGCAGAGACTAGAGACCCTTTTCCTGTGGATTATTTACCCTGGATTCCTGCGTTGAGCAGGGGGCTTCAATTCCATTGCCGGGATGTTAGGGTCCTTCCAGCTCTAGGATCCTGACTCTTAGAATATCAAGGCAAGTATAAAGCATAATCTTCACAGGTGTAGCATAAGCCCAGTTCTTTTCTTTTCTGGACGGGTGCAGTGCCATCATCCTGACCAAGGCCTGTGGCTGAAGACACATCACAAGAATCCTTCCTGGCATTGATTCCTCTGCTTCTTTTCTTTTCTCCTATTCCAATTTTATTTTATTTCCTTCTTATATTTATACATTTCTTACTGTTCCACTCTTCATTCCCTCCTCCTGCCGTTCCCCCCCTCCAAAAAAATCATTACAGTACTGCCCATTTGTCTACTAATGGCTTATTTGATCAAGATTCCATTATTTCTATTTTCTCTTATATAACAGCCATATTTTTTGTACTCCACTTTGTGGTCCATTTTTTTTTCCAAATTAGAGTTCTATCTTGTTGATATAAAGTAATAGTCAAAAAATCTTTAACTACATCATCCTAATAAAAACAATTCAATAAACATTTCCTAATAATAAAAGAAATAAACTAAACTCTGTATCCAAAACATGGATGAATCATTAATGATCAGTAGCAATAAATCAGGATCTTGAAGAACTGGACTGGGTAAGGAGGCAAGTCCTCAGTCATAGATGTCAGATGCCAGAACAGTAACTCACTCCTGGCTTGGCAGCAGATTTCTTCCTCTTGATGAGAAGAGTATTAAATAGTGCTTCTTTTTCTCCTTTTGTGTATCTGTAGCACTAATGCCTCCCATTAATTGCTTTTACTATTAGGAAGAATGCAATTTCTAGATCTTAAATGATTTGTCTGTGTGTCTGTGAAATTCATAGCTAAAATTCTTTGACAAATATTAGTTGACCCAGCTGCATTATTTATGAGTCTTACAACATTAATTGGCTTGATCCTAAAGGTACATGTTTTAGGATATGTAATTTTTTTTCCAGGTCATATGCCAAAAAAGTAGTGAGCCAGGGCAACAATTAAATTGTATTTTGTTTACATTTCATAAAAATTAAATATAGTTAATACAATTGCTCTTCAGTCATGTTTTGAATAATTCCCCCTTCTGCCATCTTAAATATTATAACTTGATAACTATATTTGGAGGTGGCTGGGTTGGCAAGTGCCCCCTTGATTTTGAAATAATTTGTACTGATTTTATTGTAAGGGTGTTTTGGATCACAGCTCTGGAGCCTGAGTCTCTCCAGATTCATTCTGGTACAAATACTGTGGATTTAATATGATTTTCCCCCCTATTAAATCAACAGTAGTGCATAGCTTAGGGATGTTTACTCAGAAAAGATCTCACTGTATTTGATGAGATTTACTCTCAAGTCAAGTTGAATAGAGTTGGAGCCTCATATATTTTTTTCTTTGCCTAATCCACTGACAACAACAACAACAATCTGGTGAGGTAGGCTTGTTGGGAGGGAGTAATTGGCCCAAAGTGAAATCCATGGTTGAGAGGGTCCTTGAGGCTGTCTCAGGGTACAATACCTTCTCCTCTACACCTTTCTCAGTGCATGCCTTATTCTGGACAATTTGAGGAAAATAATGGTGGGTTGTTGCATGTTGTTTACCACAACAAATTATCTTCCACTACTAGGCCTCCCTTGCTGTCGTTGTGACTTAGATTTCTTCTGCTGAGTAAGGACTTCTGTGCATTCTTATATCTTCCCCAAAGTTTTCTACAAATATCCAAATAAATGTTACTTGTAGATACGAAAAGGCTCATCTCTAACTTTGTAAGGGAGCAGATATTTTGACTGCCTGTTCCCTTCGATCCTGCCTTTCTTCCCAAGGGATCAGGGGGTGCCAGAAAGCAAAGAAGGGCCGAACAGATCTCGCCAGTGGCATTTTAAATAGATGTGTTTTGTTTACAGCTGGGAAAGTTGTTTGATCACTGTCCTTCCAGAAGGGCCTACAAGATAGGCCACAGTTAGACTACTCTTGTCCTGAAGGTAGCAAAAGCTGGGATATTAAGTGAAAAAGCTGGGGCCATTTTCATTTCAGTGGTTTCATCCTTTTATGGTCATATTTAATACCGTTTACCTACTCTAATGACTATCCCTTACATTTCGGCATCTGTTGGCTGAGAATAAAAATGAGAGTCTCCTCCCTACTTTAGCTTGTAACCAAGGTCTGTTGTGGGCCCGTGCTTGCAGTTGTCTGTTCTCCTTTTCCGGGCTCAGTGGCCCAGGGTCACAGTCTGCCCTTCCCTGCCAGGGGCCGGACTCCCTCAAGCCCGCGGGCCTGCTGGCTCAAGGCCGAGGGCCGTCCTGCCCTGACCCCGGTGGGGCGGTCGAGCGGGAGGGAGGCGGCGAGGAAGCCCGCGCGCAGCCCCTCCGCCGGGCCCCGGGCTCCATCCGGGGCACCCGGGA